GTGTGCTTCAACAGACCAAATAAGAATTATTCTACAGTTTCAGATAATTTTATGACATAATAAATCAATGATCACAAACGTGTCCGGCTGTGCTTTGTGATCAAAATGTGCAAATTACACCTAGAAAAATCTTTATTTACCAGCTTACAGCCTTTAATTATCTTGTGACTCTGAGAAAGAGCAGTTTTGTGGTACCAGAGTTATTTTTTTTTTAATTTATTTTTTTTACATTTCATTCTCCACGCTGAAGCTTTTACTCTGAAACTCCTCCTCCCAGCAGCCCTTGCGGGGCGGAGCCGCACCTGTTCACTTCCTGGATGTCCACTGCTAACACTGCTGCACCATGAAAACACACGTTTTGTTCAACTTATTCGCCGCTTTCTTATTAGCAGACAGCCTGAATATCGAGGTGAGTGTGTTTTTCTTCCCGTCGCTCTGAATATCCAACAAATCTGTGAGTTTCATTCTGAACGTTACCGGAACGTCGCTCTGCTGTTAGCTTCCTGAGCTGCCTTGCTAACATGTTTTGATGCTGAGCCTTGCAGCTTGTTTGAGCCAAAATCTGACAAAAACACAAATCTTCATGATTTTTTTTTTTACTTGTTTGTCAGGACAGCGCAGGGCAGTTCTTCAGCAGCGGTCATACTAACAACTGGGCTGTTCTGGTGAGTATTTCCATCTCTGAGAGAGGCTAAGTGCTTTACTGCTAACTGATTCTGTGGTAATGAATGGAGCAGCAGAAACTGACCTTCCCCATCTGCCTTCCTAAACAGGTGTGCACATCCAGATTCTGGTTCAACTACCGACATGTGGCAAATACTCTGTCTGTGTACAGAAGTGTCAAGAGGCTGGGCATCCCTGACAGGTAGTTCATACTCAGGATACCAGACTTGGTGTCAGTTTTAAATGTGGTTTGTGGGTATTTTTGTGGTAAATTATCAATCTGACTACCACACTTGATCAATTACTTTATTGCCAAATAATATAACACATCTGAGAAAAGAAAAAATGGGGCAGACTCGGTGATCTTCAGTCAACTTGTACATTTATTGTACAGCACCAGATTTATTGCAGCTGACAACAAATGGAGTTGGTCTTGAGGTGAACTGACATTGTGTGTAATCATCCTCACAAGTATTTGTTTGCAATCAAACCAGTAAAATCTTTGTTTTAGATGCATCTTGTGGTTTGAACTTTATGGCTTGGAGAATGTCTCAATCTGTAACATCCTTATAAAAACTTATTTTGACACTTGAACATGTATTTCTTGATTGACAAGATGACCCATGTGACCTTTTCTTATCTGCAGATATCATCTTTATATTTTATTCGTATGATTTTCAATCTTCCAAATAATTACCATCATTACATTTTAGCTTCTGTGATCATATCTTTCAACGCATCCATTAAATATACAAACATCAAGTTAAACTGACCTTCATAAATGCACACGATAATGTTTCCTAACATAGTCAACGTAGAGCTACAGATGGGCGTTGAACACATTTTATCATGACCATGTATTACATTGTTCACTGTAGGGCTGCAGTAATTAATTAACGAGCTGATTGGCAATTTGTCACCATCTATTTTAGTCATTTTTATTGATATGATAGTAGTTTTCGAACCAAAAAAAAGAGGCAACTGGACATCTCTTTTTTTGGTTCTCAAAGACGTTTCTCCTTTGATCCAAGACAAGACAACTGAAGGGATGAAAGAGAGGTGAAACATCTTAAAAAACCAAAATAAGAGAAGTCCAGTTGCCTTCTATTGAAGCTGTAAAGATGACCAGGATGAGGGAGAATCTACACAGACATACTGAAGATTTGATGTTTATTTGAGTTGTGGACAAGATGTGAGCTTTATCTGTGGGAAATTATGATTTCTAGCAATTTTTAGACTTTTTTTAGTCAATTAATTAGTTAATAAAAAATCATTGTAATCAATAATGAGAATAAATTTTCACTGCAGCCTGTGTCCACTCCTAATATTTTAAAGGTCCCTAAACACCAATCAGGCACTACAAATGCATGTTTTTACTGCTTGTATGTAATTTGCCGTTTAAATATTGTTTATGTTAGATTGCATTGTCTAAAATGAAGATCAGCTGTAGTTTCTGCACACAAAGAAAGGTGCATTGTATTTATTGTGGGCAATTTATGTGCATCAAACTGGAAGAAGCTGCTCAAAAGCCCTCCTCGAATTTACTTTATCTGCTTTGTAGTGTTTCATTAATTAGTTGCTAAGTATTAATTTAACTGTCAGCTGTTAAGAATTTTACTAATTGTTTGGGGAAAAACATCTCAAACTTCTGTGAATTCCACTTCTGAAATTTTAACATTTCTTTATTCCCCTGTGACAGTGAACAAAATATCTTTGAGTTGTGGGCAAAATAAGACATTTGAGGACATCATCTTGGGTTTTGAGAAACACTGTTTTCCTTTTTTTTTTTTTATGACATTTTATAGACCAGACAACTAATGGAATAATTGAGAAAATAATCAACAGATTTACTGACATCTACAGTAATCTTTAGTTGCAGCTCTAATCTGCCCAAGTGTTTCTAGGCACTTTATCCTAATTGGATTGCAGCTGTATAGTGCAGCAAAGAAGCGTGAAGAATAAGAAAAATATGACGTGATGTTCAATGTGAACCTCTACTAGTATGACAAAGTTGATAAGTATCACATTAATCTAAGCATACCCATTTTTCACATTTTGACAAGACGTCATTTGATCAAGAAGTTTCATTATTTCAGTTTGAACTCTGCAGCGTTGTGCAGGATCTGTGGTGGTAGAGTTGAGCTCCTGTTGTCCA